ACTTATATCAACAGTCAGTATGTTAAAAACGACGTAACTCAACAGGAGGAGAATCAAGCAGCAGAACCGATCGGTTAATCTATCTGAAATCAACCCCAGTAATCAATGGTACCGAATGAACGGAGGTCTATAACTAACATAAGCAACTTGCATGCGTTAAACATGCAGTGTATTGATCAAAGCGTCCGAGAGGGAATTCTGTTTACCAAATCAGGTGTGCCGCTGGCGTGCTACAAAGGTTGTTGGATGGGAAAACCAAAGGTGATTGATCAAAAGACACTGGGCTAGAGTGCGCCGAAGCATGCAGTGATCATATAGACAATATATTAAAATGTCCTCCGGGCGGTAAAGTGGAAGAGGGAAGATCTCACTTGTTAGGGATCAGATTACGCCAGAACAAATGCATGAGAATGGATGCCAGCTGAGCATGAGATAATGCATTTCTTGTCCTAGTGACCATGGTGATTGATGTGATCAACTCGTCCGTAAGAGAAAAGCAGCGTTAGATGGAAAACAATTTTGAGTGGAAAGTGTTTTCATCTGTTTTTCAAACAAAAATTAACTTGCGTTCCCAAAACAAGCAAGAATAAGCACAGCGCTGTTGAATTTTGCACTTTAACGAGATTCCAGAAACCTAGAAAGAGATCAGCGTGTCCTTAAGGTTGGCATGAGTTGCCGCTCGCACACTTTGAAAAATCGCTGAATCTAGCGATTCAGTTGTATGATCCGCTCAACGCTATGTGACAAATCCATAAATCCATTGTTTACGGTAGTGGTCCTTAAGTTGACCATATGACACCGTTGCTCTATTCATAAGTTAAAGAAATCTATATATATATATAACGTGCAGAATGGATTAAAGTTCGGAGACAATTCAGATGGATAAATTTTCAATAGTCAAAGATCGAAAAGGCAGATATGACCGAAAACTGACGAGGAGTAGAAAGGTCATGTGACAGTGCGATCTGATCATTCTGCCAAAAGACACAAGGATCGCTTTTGAACAGTTTAGACTGAAGGATTTGTGTACCAATAGCTTCTGCGGACGTTACAAATTTTGTTCCTTTTTGGTTCTCGTAGTATCGAGGGTATCTGATCAATGAATTTAAAAGCTGTTCTATCGTTTAAATGGTATCTTGTGTCTAGTATATGGGTCAAAACCGAAATACATACGTTGCGCTACTGTTCGCATTGGAATTTCTTGCACTTATTTCTTGGTCGTGTTTAGTTTCATCTTCTTTTACTTGTATTTGTTATATTGCGGTGTACTATTCCTCATACTTTACACGCATATGTAATTAATAGATAACCACCTAATTATTCAGACGACAGCTGGCTCCATAGTAGCAGACAAACTGATGCATAAAGATGTCCTGACAAAGAAGTCTGTAGTTTAGTTTTTGTGTCCCAGTCGGTTTGTTGAGGAAGTTTTTCCGAAGTCTTTTCGGGCTTTTTACAATGCCCCGGCCGCCGGATCGTAACTGAAAGTTGGCGCGCCCAAACGATCTTTTTTTCAAGCACGAGATGCATCATCTTGTTGTGGCTGCCCGTGAAGAAATTATACACTCAGCGTCTCAGAATATCCCCTTCAATTTATCTGTGGGTAACAGTGAGTACTTGACGTCTATCAGTTAGATCACTTGCGTACTAAAAAATCCTAATAAAGACTCCTCCGTAACAATCGGTCAGCTAGAGATAGCTCAGTGATTAACGCATCGGCTTACGGACCAGAAGGTCCGTGGTTCGAACGTGACCTCAGCATCTCGGCTGCTCCTGTCTAGGCTTGGGCAACCTGGCATTATCCCAGCTCTCGTGCCTCCTTCCGTTGATATGGGAGCTAGGCACCGAAAGTGTGCTACAGACGAAGTATTTTTTCGGTGGAAAGCGAAGCACCAATGGTACCACTTTTGTCCCCGGTTTCAAAACTTGGATTTTGGTGATAAACTCAAATGTCTTCGAAGCTGTGCATTACTACTAAAAACTCCAGAACACCGATCATTCAGTAATACTGTTATGTGGCGAGCGACATATGGCTAAAAACAGATGAAAGCGCGTGCGTGATCTGCACACTTGAAGAGATCAGAGAGAAATCTGCGTCCGGAAAGCTAGGCCGTCTGCATTGTTACCCCTCATCATATTGTCGATCTTCCGTTCTCCCGGTAGACCTGTCAGCCGTTTTTTTCGTGCTGGTGTTGTATTTCATTCGCCATTTTCTAACCACTGAGACTGTCGAGTCGCTCAGAATTCATTCAGAACCATCATGTTATGTTTTGTTATGGATTTTAAGTTATCGATATGTTTTCCGATGCTTCCTATCATCTCAGCCAATATGGGTAACAGACGGTGATAAGGTCAGGCTTCGAACGACCTCGTCAGACTGTTGGGTCATCTGCGTGGAAATACAAATGTCGAGAAGTCCTTGTGGTTTAGACTTGGTTACCCAGAAAAGACAGCACAAAACTGCCTGATGGAGGAAAGCAATTTTGATCACATCGTAGAAATCAAAAACGTACCTACTCAGGTAAATGAGGAAGTCCGACTGCGCTGTCATTTCAGCCTGAAGATATGGAAACCGTAGTGGTAGCACATCATTTCGCAAACAGTAACTCTACCTCAGACCTCACCTGGTTTTCAGGTGGTGCTTGTGCAGGTACTAGTGTGCATTGTCTGAAAAAAAACGAGCAAGGCTGTGGATCTCCCTAAAATGCCAAGGAATTTGAAAACCGTCTGCAACAGTTGAGAATACAAAACTAACTGTCGAGAAAAGACTAGCATTAAAGTTGTTAGCGTTTACTTAGGAGTCTAATTCAATCGCAAATGGACAACTTTTCGCGATGTATGAAGCCCGGTCAAGAGCACGACTGACAGAGTTGAGTGCTCTAAAAGGTCGAACTCTCAACCAGAATGGCCAAATTTCCTGGAGCGGCATTCGAGCTATAGCCCTATTTTTACAGTATTTCTGAATGGATGAACGAACATCCTCCAGTACAAAAATGGAAACATGTAACCAGCGCATATTCTCAAAACCACCCACACGAACATTGTCTTACAGGCGCTTCAGGGGCCAAACCAGAACTGAGAATTCCTGACAGGCGGGCCAGTCGATTGACACAACCAAGATACGTTATTCAGTTGTCGTTCGTCCGGCCTACCACTCACACCACTCAACCGTGAACATGTTCGCCAGTTCAGACGTGCTGATGGAATAGTGGTAACACGCTCGCTTCACATCTAGGATATGTAGAGTTCAAACCCAGGCATGGACAAAGATATGCCCTACCGAAGAGCTCTAACAAGAGTGAAACTTAAGTCCAGTGGACTCACTAGAATGATTGCGCCAAGACAGAAGAGTGGCTGTTCAGAAAAGAATAAGTCGAGTGTGCATTTTACTAAACAACCTCTCAACGGAACTAGGACCACCGTCATTTGTGCAACGGGTATCCTAACTGTCCGACAACTGGTCGCAACCATCCCTTATTCCATACATCTACTTCGTCGCCATTCTCAGAAAACGAAACCGGTGACAGCGGAGTCCGCTTCAACTTTTTGTTGACCTGTATGGCCCTACGGTTGTTACAAGGGGATTCATTTGACAAGGGTGGTACTGCGTCTCAAACTGAACAATGGCCAAAACCCGGATTTCACTCGGCTCCATCCAAAGCATAACTGCATTCTTTCATAGGAAATCTCATTTCAGCGTAATATCTTTAATGGGTTCTATCACAGTTCGAAGACCAACTTGAGAACAAATTATATTTTTCACCAAATGTTTCAACTGAGAAAAAATCCTCATATTTCACCATAGAATGGATCGTGCAAGACTAAACATTTTCAAAAATAGTTATAGAATTAGGCGCCGGCCCTCTACATCACTCACGAACTGATTAGTTCAGTCGACCGATTGCAAAGAATGAATCTTGACTAACGCATCTTGAATAACAGTAGGTGAGAATAAAATGCACGGTCAGGCTTTAGCAAGTGGGATGTACAAGCCTGGCTGGTGCACTGATAGTCTGTTGGCAAGGAAAGAACGAGTAACGCTTTAGCATCTCCCAATGGGATAAGACAGTGGCAACTACGTCAGTCAATAAATGTGCAGTAGCTCCATCTATCAAAATCAGCGGATGTGACAGGATAGGCGATGTTTATAGACCTGAATACCCTACAACATCACAGATTATCCTAAGCGGTTTCTGAGTGCTTTCATTCTCTTCCCCTGTTTCAGTCACGATATCAGTGACGGCTGATTCGGACCTTCTATTCGCAGGGGAGAATCAAGTGAAGCCAGCCAAGAAGTATCCGACGGTCTAGACAGGTGAACAGTAAACGGAATCCGTTAGTTCATTAACAGAAATAGAAGCGAGTTTGATCCAGTTCCGTGTTATATCAACTAATAACCAATTTGTGAACCTCATGATGATTCGCCCTTCGAAATAATACCCTCAACTTTCGAGAGGGGATGCTCCGAAAATGCTTCTACTCTTCAAGTTCAAGAGACTGGAAAGTACTGTTGCATAACCAAAACGATTTCTGAGTCCAGACAAAGGGTTGCCTCATGCCGCTGCATGTTCACGCAAGTTTGAAAAGACCGCGCCCTTAAAGCAGTTTATAACTTGAGTGGAATACAGCACCGGATGACCGGATAACCACAGCGACAGTTGAACAATCGAAGGATAATTACTCTCAGCAGCCAAAAATATAGCTTTCTTGGATATCAGTCTGCAAGTAAAGATAATGCCGTGCAAAGCACACAGTCAGCCTGTTTGCGTCACCCGCATGTGGGTTCAATTTTTCAGGCCAACTTTTTGTACGTTAGTCCAGTCACTATAACGGAAGCTCTTATTTACCAACAGTTTCTCCGTACACAAAATTTTACGTCTCCGTAAATGGGTGACTAAGCTAAGTGGTCAAAAGAGAACCCGCCGCCGTACCGTTCACTTGTAACGCAAATGAGCCGTAGGCCAGAACAAGACAAACAATCAGATTTAAATGAATGGACTGAATTGAACTGCATTAAATGCACTCACATTGTTAGTTAGTCAGACAAAGCACAACCGAGTACAGGATCGAATAAGAGAGAAAGCTCATAGTGCACCGAATAGTTTATCAAGTTGGTGGTCCAAATGACATGAGTGAAATCGGATTATTCGGACAGGGCAGAAAGAAAATCGTATGTTGTATGTGCATATCGATGAGCGAGGAGGATGAAGGAAAGGGAGAGGGAAAAGAATAAATAATCAGGCAGTGAGTAAGACCTAGAAAAATCGGAGCATAATCGGATGTAACGTCCAAATAATAAGGACCTTGGAGAACAACGACATCTGGATTTGGACAGAACAAGCCAACGGACGAACGAGTACGTTCGGCAAAAATAAGGCATCACAGAAATTAGTCTGAGTTCATGGAACACAAGTGCACGAAAAATACAGTGCAACTGTTGGGCCTTGATGGCAATATTCGACAGATGATCTTGTCTATTGAGTGGTGTTGCCGCAACATCAAGTGTATCGGTTGCTCCGAGGCCCTTTTCAAGATGATGGATGCGTTTTGTTGAGTGTGTATTCAGAGTTGAGGTGTGGGGAATATGATTCTCAATTGTTATTCGGTGTAAACCCATAGGAGGACGAGAGCGACGACAATGCCAACAAAAGCGTGTGGGAGGTGGATGCGTATCCCAGTGAAGTGTGTGAGCTTAGGATGCAGCGATGAGCATTACGGAACGGTTCAACAAAAGATCGAGGAAAAGACAATGGATAGTACTGGAAGATGGTGTAGCAATTCATCGGTTAGCATAGCCGTGATTGTGCAGGAATGGGAGCGTCTGCACTACTTCAGGAGTTTGCTGGCTTGTTCGTTCGCTTTCTTGATACGCTCCGCATTTGATTTGGCCTGTGGTAGAGAGAGAATAAACAAGTTAACGTAGAACTAAGAGGATAACAAGCGCATTGAGGAATAATGCTACAAACTGATTATAAGGGAAAACAGCAAAACAAACTGGTTACCTTAATTTGGATTCTCTCAATCTGTACGTTTTGTTGATTGATCTCACTGCCCATGTCGATGGCCATGTTGCGCAAATTCCCGATCATGCCAGATACCTCTTGCAAATTGTTGTCCATTTCATCCTCGCGAGCGTCGTTCGTTATGCTGAAATAAAAGTGGCAGCAATTAGAACTGAGAAGGGGATGATCATAGCTCAGAAACACTTAGTTGAGCCGGAAGTGTCGACACAAAAGCTAAGCAAGGGACCTGGAAGTAGCCACAGCTTCCTTGTCGAAGAAAGAAGGACCTACATAGGCACTCCTTCAACAGTGCCTTAAACAGGCTCGATTAAAACTTGTGGATCGGCCATACTGAGCAACACAGTCCCAAACGTTGAACTTGATGTTAATTCCCGCGCCTATGGACAAAAGGAAATTGGCCTCTATGTGACTGGCGCCGTTATTCCATGGTTCACGCATGGTTCACGCCGTGCCCATGAACTCACTGTTTCGCTCAATACTGCATACGAGCAGTGATCGCTGTAGTTGAATCCATTCCCGAGCATGTATGACGCCCATATGTCGCTCACAGAAAATGGATGGATTAGGTTAGATGTTTCCGGCTGCAACTCGACCGCGCGCTACTATTATGTAGATTATACGAACAAATTGAGAGGATTCGCCTTACTTATGCACTCATCAGAGATTACGCTAACTCTTAATGGATATAAATGTTGAAAAAAATGAACAGGGCCGACTCATTCATTCAGTTGAGCGTACCGAGTAATGTATCCACCTGTTGGACCCATTCCATTCTGGTCAACAATGATACGCGGGCCGTCCCCACCACCACGCATATCTTCGTCTTTCAGCTGCTTTGTGTAATCGTCCTTCTTCTTCACCCTAAAAAAGTGCAAGAGTCGTGTAACAATGTGCACATATTTAAAAAAAACTCATTTTAAAAAATCTGTAACAAACTTACTGGTTCAAAATAAATAATACGTTCTTTTCGGCACACGAGTATACGTAATGGATGAGGCTGAGGCAGATCTGGAGTCATGGCTAAGGGTTCCGTTGTATAAAGTTTAATCCACGTACGATTAACAATAGTAATTTATGCCTGTGGGGGGAGCTCCCACCCTTATTCACAGCCCCTACACACCCCTACATGATACTGTGACAATCCAATTCAATAGTGTTGTTCATGCCTTTGATTAGCGCCTTACAAGGCCACCGCCTAGTAGTGGAGAGCAGAGTTGTGGATTTCCAATAAGCGCTTCGTTGCGCCAAGCCCAGTCAAACCGTAATGAGAAGAATTTTGCACTGCACCGCACTGCATTTTAAAACTCACGAACCGCCTAACAGAGATTCAAATCCTCAGCCCCTTTTGATCGACCGATAGTTAATCAGCAGTGCAATTAATATGTACCCTTAAAAGACAGGAGACTATTCAAAATGAACTGGAATTAAGTGCGGTCTTGCCGAGCATCCAAGGACGATACCAAGTACTGTTTCTCCAAACAACGGTGAGAACAGCGTCGAAATACCAACACTGCCATGAAGATCTAGTAGATGAGTTCAGCGCTTTACATTCCTGCCCAGGATCATTGGTCGCTAGAATTACTGTCAAGGCGTTTACACTGGATGATAAAAAAATTCAATATGGACTGAGACATCAAGAACAACATAGTGCAATGCGGCCCGAAGAGGTTAAAGCTAAAACCTATGGGAAATAATATGCTAATCTCGAAGCATCGACGACAACACGGTAACAAAACTACACAACAGAAGGAACATCCCGTCAAGGAACATTTCCACTATCCCGGTAAAGTTCAAACCCCTGAGACCCAAATAGATGGCGTACGTCACCTCATCATGTTGATGTAGGCCTCAAAACTTAGTTTATCGCACAAAAAATGAAACCATGTGCGCTTGAAGCTATCAACAAACGCGGATTTTGCAAAGTACTGTTCACTGTGGTGGTCATCAGATGAATCCAAAGACCATAAGAAGCGAGGGCACTCGGAAACCGATAGGGGAAAATTCCTTAGTCGGGTCAGCAGTCATCAAGGTGGCCGGCTTCCATAAACACTGACGGCACACAGCAGTCTCAATAGCCCGTGTGAGACAGCAGTGAAATTCAGCCACCTTGTTCTCGAACCGTGTACCTAGTGTGTGTAGTCTTCAATGAAAAATGAAGCATCCGAGTTTATCTCAAATGACTGTCAGTAACAGGACAAACGAAGCCTCCTCTCGCTAGAGGAAAATGGCCAAGTCCTCTATTGTAAGTTTGGAGTGTACATCTCAGCCTAATTCGACTTGTTGTTACGATACACATTGGGGCAGTCCAAAGTCCTCTCAAACTACATAGGAAAAAACTAAGGGCATTTCGCAAGAAACGAATATGTTTCTAGTGCCCTCCTGTTTTACTATTCAGTAGAATATTGTTAATTCAGCCAACGACTATCATACTTCGAATACCTCAACACGTCAAAGAGTTTTCAGCAACCTTATGAGTAGCGTGTTACGCCCAGCCCACCATACTATTTCCATAGGACTGGGCAATTCTGACGCCAGTACTGACAAAGGTGCTAAACCAATAGATGAATGGCAACCTTATAGCGTGTTACGCCCAGCCCACCATACTATTTCCATAGGACTGGGCAATTCTGACGCCAGTACTGACAAAGGTGCTAAACCAATAGATGAATGTGGAAGGATAAGGCAAGTAAACAAGAGCAGATACGTCTGTTGAATGAAGCTCACAGTGGTCGATAAAAAAACAAGCATCATTACCGTATTACTTCAAACATCAGTAGATACACTCTGACTATCATTCACTGGTGTCAGCAGACGCAAAACTCTAGGGCAAACTAGGACATTTGTCAGCTGCATTGAATGAATACCGGTGAAAATTGCAGCTTCAGTTTGGTCATTTACCAAGAGTAACCCTTATTGAAGAGTCTTCCAGCAATTACTTGCTACCGAAGGTGTGGAGTGGTCACGCAGTATTTTTTATTTTGTAAACCGATCCGAAACATTGGTCCAGAAAGTAGCTCACAAGAAATAGCTAACATCCGGATAATAAAGCTGTCTATCAGATACGGAACAGGGAATGAATAGAAATTACCACATATTCGAAGGTGGTAGTCACAGGAAAGTTGATAAAGGGCATCCACCTATCCTGTGGCAATGGTCAAAGTGCGGAAGACTACTCCCTAACCATTGCTACTACTAAATCAGACAATAAATTCACAAAATTTGGCAATATGTCCAAAAGTCGATCGCTCGGGTGAGTTTAATAGGTGCCGACCAGGTAGTAATTGACCCGTTCGCCGAGTTTGGCAGTTTTCTTAACAACGTTTGTTCTCAGTCGGGGAGAAATCGTGGTTGAGTGGGTTTACGTTTTGGAGTACGAACGAGAGAAACTGGACACATAAGATTTGGCTTGAACCTCCCAGTAAATTTCACAAGAGGCCAGTTTTATCCTAATGTAGGCCAGAATGTGAGGCATTGCACTTGGGCACCGAAACGGTGTTACAGCTGAGCCGTTATTTTTCTATTGTGTAGGCGAACCCATCATCGGTGTCACCAGTACCTGAGGTTCTGAGTTTGCAAAGGTAAATCAACCTAAACGCGTCTGGCCAGGGTTTATGACCAGAATCGTATGTGCATAGGTCACACAAGTAGACATATCGGTTCATAGCACAGTCAGATGTCGCTGCATTGACCAACAATACTGCAGCATCCCGAGGATTTGTGTTTAATCACCATTTTAGATGGAATACAAAGAGGGGGATCAGCGTATTTTAGAGGCCTCCTACGCTAGCACTCTGTAGAACGAGTCATCAGCCTCGAGAGACACTTAATTTCCACCGGTGTCATAATTAGGTGATGAAAGGTGATACTTCGCGTCAGCAGGTGAAAGAAGGTACCGTATAAGGTGGTGTCTTGAAATAAAAGGATACTTTGAAAGAGAGGCGATTCATCCAGTGTCATTCGTCAGCTAAAACCCAGCTCACAATCCCCCACCACTCCGGAAGTGGTTTCTGTTGGGAGGAATACCACGCTCAATGTGTGTGACTCGCGTATCTAGCACATATCAGAATGCTACTTCAGGATGAATTGGAATTATGGTTAATTTAAGGCCGACTTTCAGCAATTTCCGAAGTCATACAAAAAAAGGAAGTGCGGTCGGAAAGACTGATTGTAAAATGATAATGTGGGAAGAAGGTAACGTAATTTAACAATTTCAACATGTAAATGAAAGTTCATGGAAGGTTACACTTAAGCGGAGCCGCATACAGCTTGGCGACCGGAAACGAAGACATCCCAGCACGAATAATCAAATGTGTCAATCAGGGGACGCAAAATCGTAAATAAACTCTGTATGAATACTACTTGATCCACGTCACGGCCATCCCAGCCAAGTTCAAAAAGAAAATGTTTCCACACATTGTTGGTAGTGTGAGGAGATTTGGGATTTTTGTGGAGACTTCGTCCTGTAAGTGAAGCCAATCTATGCTGAAAAGCCGAGAAGCACTGTACGGCTGTTTCATCCTTATTGGGAATCATCAGCAGTGCGCATCTCACGAAACTCCGAAGAGTCTCGAACCCGCGACCTCCCGGCTAGTAGTTTGAACACATAACCGTTCGGCCACGAGTTTGTTTCCACACATCTTAATTAGCTGAGTTTCCTTCGTTCCATTTAGGTTTCAAACATAGTAAACAGTCTTCCGTTTCCAGTACTACAGAAACCCTAGGTAAATCCACTGTCGATTTCGCCCTTCTTGGGGTTATTGACTAGGTCTAGTTCCTCAATTATCAGCAAGCATATTATGTATTTGAACATCAATTTGGACGTGTTTTGTGACAAACACTAGTTTGCAAATTAAGTTGGTGTTGAAGGGAGACTCAGGTGAAATTTCACTGAACGTGTCGATATTAAATTTCTTCACAGAAGGTGCTGCAGAAAAGTTGAATCAAATTTCAGCTGAAACGAAGTTCGGCGGAAGAAAATCTTAAATGAGAAATTCATGGGAATTTCGGCTGCGTACGTCTTTTATTTGACAAACACTTCCAAATCGTTGTGATAAACCGCTTTTTCCCCATTTCTCTCCATAGCAAATCATTACTCTTATGAATTCACGATGCGGTCAAGCCAAACAACCTACTCAAATTTCAAAGCACGATCTGTTTTCAACCATGTTTCAATGGTGGACCAATTTAGTTTACCAACCTCAAAAGTGATCACCAATCCACAACTCGTTCTCGTCGTTCAGAGACGATTCAAGATCTGAAAAGTAAAACACCTGAGAGGAACTCCTGAATGAGCTCTTCGACCACGAATTTAGAAATGTTCAGACCCTCGATACTGCTTCAAGGGATTTCACTGGTGGTTGAATATGAGTAGAATAGTCCAATGTCCTGTAACTCCTGTCCTTATAATGAATATGAGAATCGTGTCTCCATCAGACTGGGAAGTATGGATAATTTGTTGTTTATGAATGCTATCGAAAGTCTAATTTACAACTGATGCCAACGAGTGATCTTCGAACGCATGTACAGAAAACGTGACTGAATAACAGCTCACTTGTTCCACGGCAGCACACACAAGCCACAACACTTGTTCAAATCGTCCAAATTTTTCTCCGCATCTTTCATATCTTGATTGATTTGGTCCATCCCTTCGTTGATGCGATCCAGTTGTTCTACACATTAAAGATAAATGGAAACACCAGTCAGAGGAGAACAAGATAGTGAAAGTTTGAGTAAGAGGACGGCAGAGAGACAACAGAAGTGACAACGACCTGGACAAGAAGAAAGGCCAAGGAAAGAGTAGGGTGACCTAGGTTGGTGACTTGACCAAGTGACTTGAACGTCGGATAGACCAAGCAGATATGCTTCAGTATACAGAATACTCTGGTCACCGCCACGAACAGAAACGCAATAAACTATCTGAATACAAATTATTTCCTTTCCTTTCGCAAGCCGCCAAGACAAACTAAGGATTAAGACAGAAAGTCTTACTCTCCGCGATCGGCTTTTGGAAGCCAACTTGAGCATAAATGGCATACCTACCCCAAATCCATTTCACCACCGACGGTCTTTTCGAAAAAAGATCAAGCGAGAAAAACGGATGAACAAACAAGTGGGCTGGTTACACTAGTCGCAGCACGGTCACCCAGTAGTCGCATTGAAGAGCAGGAGCGACACTGATGCACAATAGTACGTTCGTCAGTAAGGTTAAAGGTACCAAACAACACGCAAAGAAATTATCCTATCAGATCAGAATTACACCCACAGCCGAACTACATGACCATTTTGTTCTTAAGGACCCTAACCCGCAGTGACCATGACGACTCAGACAATGCCAGGTCATTTGAACAGGGAAAGGGGTGACCAAAGGCGACCAGAATAGCCCTTCAGTCTAGTCTCCTGAGTCAAGTTCCTCCCTTGTGACGGACACAACACAGAGTTCGGGACAGCACAACACGAAGAATTCTCCGGCTTACCGCCCTGATCGTCTAACATGACCAAGGTTGAAATTCCAGCTTCCTTAGCCTAAAAATAGTATGAAGGTTATGTTGTATGGAACGGGATTGGGAGAAGATCACAAAACATGGAGAGGTAGACCCAGTACTACTTACCTCTTCACACATTGCCATCATACGCCGAGAGGCCTCCAACGACTGTAAACAAAAGTAGAATAGCTTGTCAAGTGAAAAGTTAGTGAGAAGCCAAATGTGGTCAACCGAAAGAGTGGTACATTAACATATTATCTGCTTGATAGAATTTCATGAAGCTGTACCGCATTTTTGGCGGTGCTCTGTATGGCACAATCCAGGCGGCCTGCAACCCTTCGCCCTGTTCAGCACAAAACATTCTATTTGAGGAAAAATGAAAGCACACTTATGTGTTGATAAGTATGACAAACTTTAAACATAGTAACCCGGTTCAATCACCACCAGGTAAGTAGGCCGTTCGGTGTAATTCGTCCTTGCCCAAGGTTTTCTGACCAGATAACGAGGGGAATAAAGTACATATAACATGGAAATTTGCTCCTCCGAGAACCCTTAAGTACTCACGATCCCACCATACTAAAAGTAGTTACCTGGGTAGCCGGGTGACCGCAGTTGTACACTCTCTTACTCCCACCGTAGCTTAGTGAGCGGGGATGGGTTAGATGACTATTTATAACTGTTTCCCGAGGCTGCACTTACGAATAATGATTTTGAGTGTGTAGAATTATGCTTATTTTGGCGAACTTATGTATCCATTTACTAAAAAAATTGCGATTGGTTGCTTATCCACTAATCGTGCATAAGCAAGATGGCATGGCGCACCCACGTCATCAACCTGAGAACATTTCACAAACCTTGAAACTAATCCCTGCTCGCATACCCTTCACTCGGCGTTAATAGGTGAACCCTCATCAATTTCTTCGGTGGGTGACATTAAACGTGTTAGCGTAAGAGTACTTGGGAGACAAAGCAACCGTCAGCTGTGCTAATCACAACACAAGTTGGCAGACTGATCTTTGGCATTTCAGTATCGTTCGAACATAGGGTTCCACAGCCTACTGGTATTCCGATATTTCCAAGGCACATCAAAAAAGAAACCTATGTAATGGACCCATCCTAGCACGAATGGTTGAGGATTCATTGTCCCGCTTCAGGTTAAAAACCAACAGAAGTCCAAAGTCAGCTTTGATTTCCCGGAGAAGCCACCATGGGACCGTAGGAAAAAATCATAATCTTAAAAAGTGCGTTACAATCACACCATAATTCACATACGCTAAAATAACCAGAAAGTATTAGTGCCAGTCTATACCAGGGTTTCACGTACAGTACAGCATGAACTTTGCTGATGAACAAGGCACTGATTTCTTCAAATGTCAAAACGCTATCACTTTAGTTAGCGAGCTTCGACCTCTCTTATTAGTTTTGACCGGATTTCGAGTGATTCGCGGGTTATAAAATTGATTAATTTCGGAAGCGAACAGATTTCCGCATATGACTATTTTGTATCGAGTCGAATAATTGTAATATTCAAATCCGATTGTTCTCCTCTGGAAAACTAGCTTTCCAGAAGAGTTTATACCAACTGTCCAACGATGACTAAGGCATCGACATTGGCGGATTTGGCATGACTGATCAGTCGGACTGACCTATTCTTAAACAAACCTGAAACGGTATTCCTGTACTGGTTCAACATCCATTTATGTGTTCAAAAATCTGTTCTGGTTGGCGCTTTTTGTTGAGTGACACCTCAGTTCGAACCCGTGTAGCCTAAACACCTAATACACGTCCCCAAACATGTTATCAAAAAGCACACGATTGTTTCCAGTTCAAGTGGAGGTTCGGACATTCAGGAAACTGGATGGTGGAGGTGTAAAACAGAACGTATGATATCATCCAGCTGTAATTCCCTTTCGTTGCCTAGCTGCCACGCCACTAGAAGCGTCAGGACTGGGATACTGCCAGGTTGCCCAGGCCTAGACAGAGGAAGAGGTGGGGTTCGAACCAAGGACATTTGGGTCAGTAAATTCGCGCTACAATCACTGAGCTATCTCGGCCTAAAGGAGGAGGACAACTCTGAATGGTTAAACACAGGAGAGTTTTGTCCTGAAAACTAACATTTATAGTAGGATATGTGTGATAGCTCACGTTTAATTAAAGCATAGGTGACGGACACCTCGTTCCGGAAAATGTTATTTCAAGAGGTCCTCGTTCCAGGAAATCCACAAAGAGCGGTATTTGTTGTGCGGGCAGATTGGATACTGGTGTGATCCAACTAGATAAGTGCCAATTTCTCCGCGGCCTCGTTAAATTATGGTCTAGTTTATCGTTCGTGTTGTGAATCGTTAGGCTAGTCTGCGATTGTGATCAACCGGAAAGAATTTGAAAATATTTCACGAGTGCGAAATTACTAGAAATACTTCATTCTGCAAGCAACTAGCGAAATGTGTTAAGCAAAGAGTACGACAATTTAGCAAGCCAGATCCATGCCCGACTTCCTGTTCTTGTTCGCGCGTACGCCGCCAACCTGTCAATCGTCGTAGTGATGCTATCTATAGAAGCGGTGAAACAGGTGAAAAGTACTCCGAAAGAATGTGCACCTGAAATATACGACGGGAAATTTCCGTTGCATATCAGTCAACCCGAACCAGACATTACGCGAAACGATAAAACAATGTCCGACGTACCACACGTGCTAGCCGTCATCCCCAAATGAAAGAAATAGCGCTAGTTTGTATAAACTTCTTCATCTGAAACTGTTTTATGGAACGGTAGACTTGAAACCGTCCTGAGTTTTTCTCACCGGAGGTAATTTAGACGTTAAGACTCGTACACTTAACAAAGTTAATTTTCATCAGAGTAGGATCATCGTCCAACGCAACCCAATAATGATTATCTATTGGAATACTAATATAAAGGACCCTATATGAATCGCTACCTGGGCGTGGAGACAAAGTAAGTTTCAAGTTGTCACTTTCTAGGCATCTTTCCTAGTGAACAGATAAACAAAATCAAACGCATACTTCACCTTAACTTTTCTTACTTTCCGGTAACTGTGCTTGTATCTGATATACTGAGCGAACAGTATTGGCTGAATTGTGATTGCCGCCTACCTCGCACATTTTTACGGATTGAGTTAATGAGATAATTCCTCTTCATTCTTCATTAGTTTAACGAATACATATCCATGGAACTTGTAGGTCAAACTTACATAGTTATTGTAGTGGAATAGTGTATGGTTGATTTAGAACACCGATAATTGTGTAACGAGCCTTGATGCAAAAAAGCTTGAGTCGAAGGATCACTTGCAAGTTTCTAGAGTCATGCTACAAGTTATGAAACGACTGGCAACATACTATCGAATTCACATGACAGAATCAGCCTTAAATAAGAATGAACTGTCTTGCTTAGGTAAATGCTGAAAACCATTACGTCAGCATTTATTAAGAAAAGTGGCTTCAACTAAAACTAACCACTCCGGGAAACGACCTCAAAAGTTCTGGGTTGAGAAACGCTGCGATAGAAGAATGTGTCAGCAATCAAACTTCGGGGACCGGGTGGAATAATTCTGCATTTCCAAATACATCCCAGTAAGATTATAGCCAATCTGTCAACGAAAAAGCCTTGTTACAACTACCTAGGATGAACCAAAACACCTTGAGGCAGGTGAAAAATGTTCGTATTCCTATCTTCCCGGAAGGTCTTGGACGGTCACAGTAGCCGTTGACTAATTCCCAGACAAAGTGGAGACTCCAGGCAATTGCTAAACTGTTTTAATGTATAGAGTCTTGATACGTTAATTCCCTCAAAAGCAGACACGATTGTGCTGAATCGTAGTCCTAGTAGAACCTTTTCAAAGTTGATCCATCCATACGAGTGCACGGTGCCCAGATCATTTATTAGCCATCGTCTCCCTCAAGAAGTGCCCCTCTACACGTGTAACTCCTCTGAGCCACACACGACTCCGTAAAGTAGTCCTGTTCCGAATACAATTATCGCTATATTCGTTTTGATAAGAAGGCAGCCGGCCATAAGGCACTTGTGCATGAGCCTTCAGAGTTTCCACCACATGCAAACTTTTACACAGGTGCTGAAATTCCGTGAACAATGCATTATTCAGCAATGAAACGATTATTAGGGCAAACCCTGAGGATCAACATTATCAATACAGAGTCAATCAAATGCTAGCGTCAGCGTCATCCAGCTACACAGCTGTATTTTTCACCAGTTCTGATCGGTTACTCTTTTTGAATTAGATGAATCTGTAACTCCAGATGTAGTGTATGGTGAATAGCACTTGTTCTAAAAAAATTTTACAATCGTCAAACAAGCAGTAAGGAAAGAGCAGTATCTATGATCCTCGAGCTTTGTGCCTGTCGGATGCCCAATCAGTTTGGCCAAGACTACCTGACGAAGCGCACTGTATACATACGAAATAAGCTGTTCCAACCAGAACGCCGATGTCCACTAAATGCTCTGAGAAATACAACAATGTTTACAATGAATAGCGTTATACTTCCATTAAAATGTCTTTCTCAAACTATCCCTCAGGAAAGACTGCTCGACTGACGACGTGAGCCGAAAATGCCCACATAGTTGACCGTGCAAATAACCTCCCTTGGTCCACCGGCCAACTAAACCCCATATGCTGTCAGCCTGTTAGCGGACAGCCGCGGATACAAAACAAAGACGGCACTCGATAAACCCAAGCTGAAGGACCTTGCAGACATCATTAGTGCCTTTAATAATTCACAGTAGTCAGTACTTTTGAACATTGTGGCTAAATAGATGCATTTACACTGAATTTCCAAAATGCACTGACTCAAACTACCAGTTTATCCTGAACGAATACAATATTTTTCGAAAATGGTTGTGAACAATCGCTGGGTTTATTGCCGGGCAACTTTTCGCTTTTGACACAAAAGATTTGCCAGGCCAATTGACTAGGTTACGAGGGTGGTTAAGATCTAAGGCGGAAGGAGAACCAATCAGCTAAGTTAAGCTAAATCTGTGTTAGTTGTACGCTAAGGGATATCGGGTGTTAGGGTGGGTCACCAAGTGTTAAGCCGATGGGGAAACCTACATGGGTCTAGTTCTTCCGGTTCCATTCGGTTCATAAAAACCCTTGGCCGACACCTCGCACAGATTTAGCTTGACTCGTAAACATGTACCTAGCCCTACTTCATCACCGCTTGTCAACAAGTGATATAAACTCTTAATAACGACCCAGGGAATGCAGGTATTCACTGCCAGCACTTGTCAATAACGAGAAAGGTGATCATTCCGTCCAGCAAGTCCTCTGTAACTCCTGTAGGTATCATTTCCTTCCTCTATGTATTTCATTGCAGTGAATACGTAGTGAATACACTCGTCCGTACGAACTAGCAAAATACTAGTATCTTATAAATGCACATGACAGAAAAGATTAACGTCCTACAATGGATGAAGATGAGCGTTAGGTGTGGAATGGATAGTTTGGAAAATGATTATAACGTGAGACCTCCAAGGATATTCTGGTAAGCACTGTAGACACCATTTACTTAATTTATATGAAAACCTATGCTCACTGTTGGCTTTTGTGGCCAAAAGATATGAAGTTATAGTTTTAAGGGTTGGGGTCACCTTTGTGTATGTCGTTACTGGGCCCATGTTTCCTAACACGAAAAATTCAAGGCTAATATGACAGGTGAAATTGACAGGGAAATTGAATGGTATATGGAGATGGAAAAACTGAAGTGAAAACAAAATTAGCTGGAAAAAGTTCCTCCAATAGACTTTGTCGCAGTGCAGCAAAAGTCCTAAAAATTCTGTAGTTCGAATAAACACAACACAAGAATCATTCGGGACAGTGGCTGTAGTTACCAGACTCCATGCAAGAAGTTTATTTTGTAAACTTTACTCGCACCCTTTATGTCTGCCGCTCTGATCTCCCTATTGTTTCAAAAAAGCGTTGCTCATTATGTCGGTCGACGGCTAGACCCACAATTCTCTCTCCAGACTTGGACTCTAAAGATCATTGGCCTCAAAAGGTTTGCTAACTACAAAGCCAAAATCCCTACTCCTTTCTCCGAGTGGACTAATTTCGTGTTGCCAAACCACTTACTGCGATTATGTAAAAGTGAAAATCTCCAGATCTACCAGTCAACAACACAATCGTTGTTCTAATCTCGATAATGACAAATCATAGGAATGAACCTGGTTTTAATCAATACTATGCTCTACAATCATTCTACGGGTTGCAAGAGGCGGAGAGAGATGATCCGGTGTTAACAAATATAAGATGCAACTGACTCCAATCAACTGTTAGGAGGATCATTAATCCCAAGAAAATGCGAGCCTAAAGGCGAAAAATAGCAAACGAAAGGTAATTAGGAAGTTGTCAGCATGCCGAACTCTACGCACAACGGCACTGGCTTGCACTGTCCGAAATTCGGAATAGAAGCAAACAGGGCGTGAAAACATAAGCTACCGAACGAAACGCACTTCTGCCGTGGCATCATCGATCCTTTTATGTAACAACTCCACCTCTGTCATCGGTCTTACAGTGCCATCCTCTAGACGGATTTCGTCGTCGTTGCATGGCGGTAACTGATAGGAGGGTTTTCGCGGCATTGAGCAAATCAGATGCGAAGGGAAATGTTATATCCTGGGCATGGCCCCGAGAAACAGCAATAGAACCGCTTCACATGATCAGTTGTCAACACAAAATGTATATTCGTTAAGTAGTTCACATCACCGGCCGCAAACTTGGTCCAAAAGACTGTGCAACGTAAATGCGGGAGCATCACACCGTGTGATCAACAGACTAATTGTTTTGGCCAATAAATGATGAGATGATTCTGATATTTCATTGGAGGAAAAAAATTCCCGATTCCATAGGGGCGAGGACAGACAGTAAGAAAAGCATGTGATCCATGGAGATTTAACAGGTAAATAACCAGCGGGATCAAACTTTGTTTCAAAATGCTGAGTTCCTTCATCCAAACTTACTGACGAAACGGCAGGATATAAACCATGAGATGTGGTTTGAAGTGGATGAGGCTTGTCACAAGCACAGTTTCTTACGAGCCCTGCTTTCAATGATTGCATCCTCAAGTGTCATTGTGAATTGCTAATAGAGGTGGAAATGAAAATACACTGTCCACTTCATCCACTCTGGTAATTGCAGCTTTGAAAACACGTGAGCAACTTCACTAGTACCCACTTTGTAAGTTTAGATGATTGTTTAAACTGTCAGTCATCATCATTCCGAATTGTAGTAAAGGAGTACGGGCATTCCTACTACTTCAGCTAATGACACGCATGATTCTCCCTTGCATCCTCATGACCAGCCTTGATATCCCTATCGATAACAACAACGATGTGGAGTGTCAGTGCTTCACTTCCAAATAAACTTAAGAGCTGACCTTAGGGAAACTAGGGAGTGCTGGCCTATTTCAAGTATTTATCAGATGATTCAGTTTATTAGACAATAATTTTGAGGTGCTCGATGGACCGTTGCCTTTTATGCAGGAAAGACCTTCATACTATCATTGAAGATCTCGTACCTAATACTGTAATGTTATTCACAAGTGTGCATCCACGGAGATTTAGGTACATCCACCACAAAATTCGTGAGACTCACACTGCCCATGATACCCAAGAATAAGATAGCTGTACAATGCTTCTCGGACTTTCAGCATACATTGACTTCATTTTCTGGATCTATTTAGATAAACGGGAGATTTTCTGATCACTTATTAGATAAGTAAACAACAAATCTCTCAAGGGTCGGTCGTCTCAAAAATCCCACTTCAACATCACTTTCGACATCTTATTTAGATAAAGATTTTCTGATCACTTATTAGATAAGTAAACAACAAATCTCTCAAGGGTCGGTCGTCTCAAAAATCCCACTTCAACATCACATCAGACATCTCCCTTCTTTTTCCAAATAAAATCCAGTCTGGATAACTGACTTTCTCCACCTTCAAAGTCCCCAATAAACCGTATTCTATCAATGTCTATCTGTCAATATTATATATATATATATATATGCGTATATATAAGGAGAGAGGGAAGGACTGTGTATGTATTCGCGACAGTATGATCCCATTACTTTTAAACACGCTCCTGCTTTGAAACGGATGGTACTCAAAAAATTTGCTTTGAAACGGATGATACTCAAAAAATTTGCTGTGATAGAACAACGTTCCAAAGTGGTAAAGCTGTTTATATAAGCTGAAATTTGACCATGTTAGCCAAACACGTGTGGAAGGCAGGTACACAATTAAAAGTAACTAGCTTCCTGTAGTAGTAGCGTCTTCCTGTAGTAGCTTCCTGTAGTAGCACCTCAAAGGCACCCTCTGGGAAACAATAAGCTTAGCGTTGAAATCTCACTATCTTCCGCCTTCTAATTGGGAATCGGTACACAGCCTCCGATCACTGTTATGTACGGCCACTAACTGTACTCCACACGAACGTTTTTTTCCAATACACGCGTCGCTTAACATTTGGAACACCGTTGCCATCTTAGTTGACCACCAATGGTCCAGTTCTGCCGCAAAGAGGTGATAGGTCATCCAAGTATCAACCACAAGTAGAAGTCGACCATCTGGACTGCAGCTACGCACACATTGCTCATCGAGACGGAAGAGTCGAAACTGTCCCTTCGCCGTCTAGCCCCCGCGGTTCAGAATACAACTGACAATG